ACCTGCTTAGTTTTCACGAGCACCACCGACTCGGGCATGAATTTCGGGATCCCTCAGGAACAGAGACTTCGCCTAGTGGACCATTCAGGCCTCTTGCTGTTTCTTCCTCCCCTCATCCTTTAGGTCAAGCCCACGTTCATTAGCGCGTCTGTTAGAAGAAAGTAGTCAAGTTTGGAGGAGAAGGCAAATAAGTTTCAGTTTTGCTGCTTAGCACCTGGTTCAGCTGAATGTCTCAAATAAGGTTTAGGGCAAGGAGTCTCATCTACGTGACTAGGTCCCATTTCTCGAAGTTACTACCTCCGGGGGATTGGAAGTAAGCCCAGCCCAAATACACTGAAAAAGCTTCTGGGTGAGTCTCGTGCATCACTGAGTACTTGGCAGCTTCGTGGGTGAGCACGACTAATTTAAAGGATTCTCTCCAGCTTCCAATTCTCTGTCTATACTATATCGTGCCTTCCATAAGTAGAGAAAGTCAAGAAGGGACATCTATACAGTAAATCCAAGCAGGTGTCTGCGTGCCCTGGGGATATTGGATAATCAGCTGGTATCTTCCTTTCAAAAGGCTTGAGCCAAAGTGTTTGGGATGTAGGGCGAAAGTCGGGAGCCATGGATTCTAGCTGCAGCCTCACTGCTAACTAGCTGTGTGATCTGGGCAGAGACTACAGCTGCAGTGCCCAGCCTCCCTCTCTGTGTATAAAATCGTGCTGCTGAAACCTGCTTTTCCTCTTCTCCAGAGCTCAGCTGAGGTAGTGTTTATAGATGTGAACGTCTTTGAAGAGTATTGAAGAGTGCTGTGTGAGGTGATCTTGCTGGAATTCTCATGATTTGCCAGGTTCGCCAAACCTAATAGCCACTTGTGGGGAAAAAGGCACATGGGTCCTGAGTGTGGAAATAGCCGGCAGCCCAAGGCTGTGCTGATCTCAGCTGTGCAGACAGCCTGCCAGGGGCCGGAGCAGGCCACACAGGCCTCATCCACAGCCTCAGTTTCCTCAGAAGTTGGGAATGAAGCATCTGTGAAGAGGTGCTCCTGAACCCCTAACTCTTTACCTCAACCTCTGTCCCCACGCAGTCTGGGAAGTGGAACTTCCGCGTCAGATGCTTCCCTGATTACCTGCCCTGTGGACTGTGGTAGACTGCCGTGTTTTAGGTTCTTGTTTGCTTGCTTGCTTGCTTTTAATCTGTCACCAATAGTTTAAGAATACACGCAGGGCTGAGCACAGTGGCTCATGCCTATAATCCCAGTGCTTTGGGAGGTGAAAGCAGGAGAATCACTTGAGGCCAGGAGTTTAAGAGCAGCCTGGACAACATAGTGAGGGCCTGTTTCTACAATAAATAGAAAAAAAAAAAATCTCCAGGCACAGTGGCATGCACATGTAGTCCCAGCTACTCAGGAGACTGAGGTGGGAGGATAACATGAGCCCAGGCGTTTGAGGCTGAAGCGAGCCATGCTCCCAACACTGCACTTCACTGTGGGCCAAAGAGTGAGACCCTGTCTCTAAAAAAATAAAAAATAAAAAATAAAAATATGCTCCATGACTGGGTATGTGCATATATAAAACAGAAAACAAGTCGTCTGCCTAATACCTATCCTTACTATTTTCCCACACTGTGTTTTCTATGCTATTAAAAAAGAAAGATGAAAGAAAAATTTTAAAAGGAAGGAAAAGCTGGCGGTGATCTCCTAAACTGGTTTCATGGCTCACCTAGTGGATCATGACCTGAAGTTTAAAAAACATCGTGCTAGATTCTGTGTCTTTTGCTGGGCTCTGTGTCACTGCACTAGCCTGGGGTGCCTTTGAGGACCAGGCAGATAAAGTAAATCTGTAAGTGAGGTTTTATTTCAGAATGGCACCTTCAGTCATATTCCTGAGATACATACACGAATTATTTGCATATTCACATTTCTATAAAGAAATATACTCTACCAGTTTTCCTAAAACACGCTCCCCACTTTGACTTTTGTTGGGAGGAGAAGGAAAATAAGTTTCAGTTTTGCGGCTTAGCAACTGGAGTATTTAGCTGAATGTCTCAAGGCTTAGGGCAGGGAGTCTCATCTACGTGACTAGGTCCCATTTCTAGAAGTTTCCACCTCAGGGGGATTAGAAGTAAGCCCAGACCATGTACATTGAAAAAGCTTCTGGGATGAGTCTTGTGCATCACTGAGTACTCGACAGCTTCATGGCTGAGCACAGCTAATTTAAAGGGATTCTTTCATTACATTCGATAGCTGCATAGCTACAGGACACACTTTGCCAGACTCCTCACTCCTATTGGAAAACCAGCAGCGCGGATTCCATGATTCAGGACTGGCTCTGGACCCCCAGTGTTCGGGAGCAACGCCGGGTTGGGGGAGCTTGGGTTCATCCGGTGCACAGCCAGTATTGTCAGTTTAAAAAGTTAAACTAGAAAGTTAGAGTCCAGAAATTTGGATTTTTATACAGAATCTCCCCATTTTGGCAGTGGATTTATATTAAAACAGAACAAAACAAAAAATAGACGGCAGTGTGGTTTAGACCAAACTCATCTGCAGGCTAGATGAGGCTGGGAAGTAGCCAGTGTCCGTCTGTGACCCAGATCAGAGGCAGGGTGCACCCTCCCACTCAGTGCTCTCCCAGAACCTGTTATTTCTGGAGAGAGAGAGAACACGCCACCTGAGGGCATCCCTGCTGCCCATCCTTGAGGACTCCATTGGATCTTTCTCCTTCCTCTGCTGGGAGAAAAGAGAGGGGGGAGAGTCCTTGGGCTCCCCCTAGAGGGAGAGAGAGCAGGATGTGGGCTCAGCAGCAATTAAGCTGAATATTAAACTCATCCCCCTTTTGGATGTTGAGTGGATAAATGGCAATTAATCAGCCTCCCCCCAAAGATTAGCATTATCATTATTGTTTCCTTCAGACAGAATAGCCGCTGGTTTTGCCACCGCACATTGTGTAGGGGAGGAATGATTCGGTCATAACTCCTGAGGGTGTTTGGAGATGAATGTGTCTCTTATGTACACAGCAAAGGCTCCAGCTTGTTTTCCTAGCCGCTTTAATCCCAGGATTCTTCCCTTATCCCTCTTTTCATCCAAGCACTTCTACCCTTGGTGACATTAGCTGTGTCATTTGGACAGTGTGGGTACAGAGTTTAACTTCATGAGGACAATTAGAGGCATTGGTCCTCGGGAATGGGGTGAGCTGGGAAGACAGCTTCTCTCCTGTCATACAGAGAGAAGGTAGCTTTGGTGGCTACTGGGTGCTCTTCCTTTAGGATTCCCTTGACTTAGAACAGGCATTGGAAGTCTATAGCATCCAGCAACACCAGGCTGAGGACGCCCTGGGCACCCTGCAGTGCTTTCCCTTTGGTGCCCTCCCACTGCCCATTCTGTTCCCTTCTGCCCTCCTAACCCTCATTGCTGAGTCTCCTTTATCTCTCTTTAAGGGTCGAAAACTGCAGCCTGGGAGATTCCCTTAGAGTTGTTATACCCTGTTCTTCCAGCTTGACCTACCCACTCGCCTACTTCACTTCAGCCGTCATTCTTTCTTTTTAAAAATAGTACAGTTGTTAGAGAATTAAGTTCCATGGAAAGCAGTCTATTTAAACTTTGCCTTACTTTTAAAAATTATTTAACAATTTTTAATTTTATTTCATTAATGTTTTTTGAGACAGAATCTCACTCTGTCACCCAGGCTGGAGTGCAGTAGCATGATCTCTGCTCACCACAACCTCCACCTTCTGTGTTCAAGAAGTTCTCCTGTATCGGCCTCTGAGTAGCTGGGATTACAGGTGCCTGCCACCATACCCAGCTCATTTTTGTATTTTTAGTAGAGATGGGGGGCATCATGTTGGTCAGGCTGGTCTTGAACTCTGGACCTCAAGTGATCCACCCACCTTGGCCTCCCAAAGTGCTAGGATTACAGGTGTGAGCCACTGTGCCTGGCCAAATTTTTTATTTTTTAATTGACAAAAAATTAATGTAGAATTATACTTTTGGCAGGGGAGTTATTTGTGTTTTGCAGGAATTGCTGGTTGGCTCTGAGAAACTAGTTCTTATTCTTACTGGCGAGGCTTGTGCCCCCCTGTCAAGGTCTACTTCCTGCCTCCCGACCATTTGCCACTCTTTGTCCCCACCCTTTGCTCTTGCTCATCATGGTGCTAGATTTCTGACTTAAAATAATTCATTTAAAACAAACAGAAAACCCACAATAACAGACTTGTGGAAGTTTTCAGACATAAAAAAATGTAATCGCCATGTATTCAATATTCAACTAATAATCATCAACATTTCACCAGTCTTAGTAGAAAACTTCATATCAGTGTTTCTCAAAGTGTGAGTAGTGACCTACTTAGATTAGAATTTTAAAATGCATATTCCTGGGCTCTCCCTCCCCCAGACCAGCTGATTCAGAAATCTCCCCGCCAAGCCCACTGATGTGCTAACAGGCTCCACGGACGGTTGTGATGCACACTAGTGTGTGAGAACCACTGCCGTAGATACGCATGTGTGTCAGCCAGGCCTGGCACTACTCACCCAACATCACTCAGAAGATCTTCTCGTCCTTCGTGTGAAGGACACAGAAAAGCAGTTCCTAAGGCTGAAGCCTGAACGCGAGTCTAGGACATCACTTTTTGTGCGTTGGAAGCTGCAGGTGCTGACAGCTAACGGCACCAAGTAAGACCCCAGGCCTTAGTCCTAAGAAAACGCTCTATATATCAGTCAGTTAATTGCTGAAAGAAAAGCAATCACCTGTATCTATTTGAATTTCAAGCTTCTTGCTCAACCTGCGCTTAAACTCTCAACAATTCAGTTTGGAGTTAGGCCGATGCAAAGCTGTAAGAAGGCACTGCAGCATCTTTAGCGCTCTCATGCTGGTTGTGGACCTTTCCTCTAAAGAGGACTGCAGACAAATAAAGCACTTGAGATACACTCATTTGCCTCCGCGTTTGAAACCCCCCCTCAAGATACTACCCTGGTGCATGAGACCAGTGGGCTCTTAAAAACCTTTTCTTTTTTTTTTTTTCAGATTTAGGAGGAAAGCTGCTGAAGAAATAGAAGAGTACGTTTCTGGTATTCTTACGGTACCCCACGCTGATCTTGGTCAGCAGTGCAGTCATGGTGGCACTTTATCTGTTCCACCTATGTCGAACACAGTGTTAGAAGTCTGGGCTAGAGTTGTTTATGCCTGACGAATCCAAGGTTTGGTTAATCCTGCTTCCTCAGCTGAAGGTCTGGACTCTGCCATTGATGCCCACGTCCTGTCACCCACTGTGTAGTTTTTAGAATCATACGTCCAGATATCAGGGTACCTGGCCCATGCCTCCTGCATTATTGATATAGATGGGCAGAAGCAATACCAGCTTCTAAGCCTAGCCTTCTCATAAGACTTGAATCAGAAAAGAAAGAAGTTTTCTAGATAAAGGTGGCTGTGAAGGCAGGGCCACCCAGTGTCCCACTCCCCGGAGCAGAGGGAGCATTCATGTCATAGTCTGTGTGCTGCTATCCTCTGGAATAGCACATTGCACAGCCTGTGCAACCACACACGGCACACCCAGTGGCCTAATTAGGTTTGACCAAGTTGAAAGAGAAAAGCAGGTCCAGGGATGTTTTCATCTAGGAGAAAGAATGGATACAATAAACATTTGGGATGCTCCTTTCTGTGTTTGAAACTCATTTTCTGCTCTCCTTTTCTTCTTTTTTGGGGGCAGTTTTCGCCTCAGACAGCAGAGCCCGAATGGATCAGATTGCGGAGGAGGTAAGAGCCCTGGGAGGAAGCCAAAAGGTCTTCTAGAGAGGCCCCAGGACGTTTCTGGGGCTACAGCTAAGACACTGCTGACTGCCGCATTACTGAAGACATTTGCAGTGGTCTCCCGACGCGCACTGACGCACATCTCCACGCCTTGCTGAATGCTGCCACCTCTGTCCAGAGAATCTCTCCCTTCTGTATCTGCTAACACTGCCTATCCTTCAAAAGGTCAGCAGAAGCATTCCTTCCCCGGAAACGTCTTCCCTTCCCATCCCACTCCCTCTCTGACCGGATGTTCTTTCTCCACGCTCCTCTAACCTCCTTGGCAAACCAACACTGTAGTAACAACCTGGCTAACAAATGTTTACTAGGTGCTGACTCTATCCCAGGCACTGTCCTTCCACTTCACACACGTTAAAGCATTTCTCCCACAACCCCGTAGTATTACTGTTATCCCCATTCTACAGTTGTGGAAGCGGAGGCACGGAGAGGTTAAGTAAGTTGCCCAAGGTCAGAGTTGCTAAGTGACTAGAGCTAGGGTTTGAGCACGGTTAGGACATTCTGTGCTTTAACTCTTTGTTGGTTTGATTGTTTTCACACCAGACTCTAAGCTCCCTAATGGCAGACAACACGTGTTATTTATCTTTGCATCTCCAGTGCCCAACGCAGAGTAGTTAGTTAATGGCTAGACAACTAGGCCATGAACAAACTCAGGGAAAACAGTACTAAAAAGGCAAGTAGCTGTGGCAGAGTAGAAGCCTGTGTTCAAACATCAGGAGACAAGGTGAAGTTTGTGTGTGTCTCTAAAATGAAGCCCTCTAGGGAGAAGATTATGCTTGGGACCCAAATTATTATTGTTGTTGTTATTATTTTGAGGCAGGGTCTCCGTCTGTCACCCAGGCTGGAGTACAGTGGCACAATCTTGACTCACTGCAACCTCCACCTCCCAGGTGAAAGCGATTCTCCTGCCTCAGACCCCTGAGTAGCTGGGATTACAGGTGTCTGCCACCACGCCGGGCTAATTTTTGTATTTTAGTAGACATGGGGTTTCACCATGTTGGCCAGGCTGGTCTTGAACTCCTGACCTCAAGTGATTCTCCCTCCTCGGCCTCCCAAAGTGCTGGGATTATAGGCGTGAGCCACAGTGCCTGGCCCCAAATTATTAAAGCCTTTTTTTTAGACATGCTTATTTGTATCATTTCCACACTCCTTGTTTGTTTGTGTAGATCCTAGTTTCTATCTGGTGTCGGTTTCCTTCAGCCTGAAAAACTTCATAATTATTTTGTGGAACAGGTGGTCTGGCAAGAAAGTCTGTCTGCTTTATTTGTCTGAAAATGTCATCCTCAGCTTTTTACCAGACATGGAATTCTAGACTGACAATTTTTTCTTTTAGCATTTTAAATAGTTATTTTATTGCCTTTGGCCTAGCCAATATTTCTTTAAGTATATTTTGTCTTTGGCCTGCTGCCCTCCCCTGCCCTCCCCTCCCCTCCCGTCCCCACAGGGTCTCACTCCATCATGCAGGCTGGAGTGCAATGCTGCAATCTCGTCTCACTGCAACCTCTACCTTGTGGGTTCAAGTAATTCTCCTGGCTTAGGCTCCTGAGTAGCTGGGATTACAGGTGCCCACCAGCACACCTGGCTAATTTTTGTATATTTGGTAGAGATGAGGTTTCACTATGTTGGCCAGGCTGGTCTCAAACTCCTGACCTCAAGGGATCCACCTGCCTGTAATAGGCATAAGCCATCTTGCCCGGCCTACGTTGCTTCCGATGAGAAGACAGTCGTTGTTCTTATCTTTGTTCCCTATATGTAATGTATCTTTCCTCCTATCTGCTTTTAAGATTTCTTCTCCGTTATCAGTTATTTCCAGCAATTTGGTCATCATGTGCCTTGGTGTGGTTTTCTTTGTGTTTATCCTACTTGAACTTAAGTCCATGGGTTTATAGTTTTTGTCAGATTCAGAAAATTTTAGCCAATATTTCTTTAAGTATATTTTTCTTCACTCCCACTCCTTCTGGGACTCTACAATTTTGCATGTCCAAACACTTGTCTCCACAGTCACTGAGGAGACAAGTTTTTCAGTCTACTATTTTTCTCAGTGCTTCAACCTGGGTACTTTCTCTTGCTGTGTAACTGGTCTTTTCTACAATGTCCAGTTTGCTGTTAAGCCCATCTAGTGAATTATTATTTTATATATTTTTTTCAGTTCTAGAAGCTCCATTTAGTTCTTTTTTACAGTATTCCATTATCTTCTTATTCTGTTGTGTTTTCTTTTATCCTTGATAGTAGCCTTTATATAGACTGAGTATCCCTCAAATGCTTAGGACCAGAAGTGTTTCAGATTTCAGATTTTTTTCAGATTTTGGAATATTTGCATTATGCTTGTCTAGTCGAGCATCCCAAATCCCAGAATCAAAATCTGAAATGCTCCAGTGAACATTGTCTTTGAGCATCATGCCAGTGCTCAAAAAGTCTTGGATTTTAGAGCATTTTGGATTCTCAGATTAGGGCGCTCAGCCTGTATTAACTGTTTCCATGTTCTTTTGCTGCTGATTCCATTATATCTGTCTTTTCTGAGTCAGTTTCTAAAACTGATTTTTCTTCTGCTTACAAGTCATATTTTTCTGCTTCTTCACATGATTAATAAGTTTTGATTGGATGCTGGACGTTGTAAATATAGTTATGTTGAATCTGGATCTTGTCTTCCTTTAAAGAATGACATATAGATACTCTTCAACTTACAGTGAGGTTACAGCTGGATCAACCCATTGTGAGTTGAAAATATTGTAACATAAATAGAAATATCATAATGCATAACCCACCCTTAAGTCAAGGACCGTACTGAACATGTATTGCTTTTGCACCATCATAAAATTGAAAATGCATCATGTCAAACCATTGTATATTGAGGAACATCTGCATTTGTTTTGGTAAGCAGTTGATGTATTTTTTTCAATCAATTTGATCGGTTTGAGAATTGCTTTTAAGCTTTATTAGGGCAGGTCTAGAGTTAGCCCTAAACACTAATGCCTGGTTGATCGATGAGATCTCTGTACTGTGGCTGAGTGGAGCTGAGCCTCCTCCAGTTCTGTGTAAGTGCTGGGGATGGTTCAGCTCACACCTTGTCAGTAGTAATTGAAATACATAATGCAGTCTACGGCCATACCACCCTGAATGTGCCGGATCTCGTCTGAAATATTATAATGCGTAACCCCCTCTAAGTCAAGGGGGTTGTGCCCAAGTCTGCTCAGGCTTATGGAGTTTCACCCTGCAGAGGCATAGCTCAGTATCCAGTCAGTCTGGACTTCTAGAGATTTTCCTCTCCATAGCACCCCAGTCTTTTCAGACTTCACTTCTAAAATTTCAGCCATTTAAGCCTCACTAAACTTCAGTCTCTCCTCAACTCAGTGAGACCTCCACGCTCTGTGTAGGGCTTCCCCAAGCTGTGCCAGAGTCCAGGAATGACCGCTAGAGACCTAGGGCTTACTTCTGTTTTCCTGCTCTCGGGAATCAAAGTCCTAGGCTGCCCATTATCCAGTGTCTGGAAACAGTAATACCATTTATTTTTCCTCCAATTTTCTAGTTGTTTATAGCAAAAGGGCAAGTCTAGTAGTACCAGTTACTCTCTCGTGGGTGGAAATTGAGTCTCAAAGCCTTTTTTCTGTCTTTGTATGCAGTTGCCTTTGTACGTGACTGCATACAAAGAGGGAAAATTAAGTGTGTAAAACTTAGATGATTGTCTAATAATCACACAACTAGGGAAAGGATCAAAAAGAACATCTATGAAATATTCTGGGATGGTGGTTAAAATGCACATTCCCAGGCCGTACACAAATCAGAAACTAGAGCCGAGGCTCAGGAATCTGCATGAATTTAAATAAGCTCCCAGATGAATATTTGACAACCCTGTGGGGACTGAGGATCGGAGAGGGCAGGAGTCCTGTGAAAAAGTACTTCTGCCTCCTCTCATTCCTGGCGGTGGCAGTGGGGAGGCGGTAGAGGTGAAAGAGTTGTCACTAGAGGTCAGAAAATCACTCCACACTCTTAAGATTTAGTAAGACCATACTCTCGTCATTCTCCAGCCTTTTTCTTTACGTTGTAGTATCTCTTCTTGACAGATCTCCTTAGCACTGCCCACTAACTTCCTTTTAGCAGCCAGACTTCTCCACCCACTGGTAATTCCCAATGACTATATTAAATAGGAGAGCTTGCATTGCTGTTCTCAGAGTCTGTTTTCCAAGATAGGTACCTAGGATATCTTCTCCCAGTGCTAAATTGTCAGCTCACATATTGGTGGCTGCTGGCCACACTTGCAATCTGCCTGTCCTCACAGACTACTACTTCAGCCATTGGTTGCGTAGGACAGTAAGGTGACCATCCAAGAGGATATACCCAAGGACTGAAGGAGGCAGAGTGTCTGGCAGACATTAGCAAAGTGGGTAAGTGGTTTGGGAGCAGTGCTCATGGAAATGGTAATGCTAGAGCAATGATTCTAGAGTCTCTGGTTTGAACCGGCAGGAGGGAGTGTGTTAATGAAGGCATGTTATTTGCAGTGTGGGGATCAGTCTTGAAGGTGTGCAAAAGTGAGTATAGGGCAAGTTGTTTCCTGCAGGATGTCCTTTTTGGACAGATTCAGTCCCTAGTTGCTCACGTATTGTATTTGTTCAGAGCACCAAGAGACTTGTGATTTAAGTAAGAAAGCATTAAACTCAGGAAGAAGGTTTTTAGAGTTCTTTGGCAGAAACTTCTAAATGGAAACACAAGAAAATGAATTCATAATCTATAGAAAGTTTACTGGACTCATACTCTTTTCCAGGCTTTTCTCCACCGTGCCTTGAACCTATTCCCAACTCCCTTGAAAGGACTTCTGAATTTCTGCTTTCTGTACTTTTTTCATCATGGAAATGCTACATTTCAAGGAGACACTGCTAAATGTTATGCAGAATCCTCTGAGCACTGAAGTTTACGCACGTCATAAATACATGGAATTAGAAGGTTGTACTGAC